GGCGGCGACGCGGGCCTCGCCCCGGAGCATCCCCGGGGGTGTGCGGACCCCCTCCCACCACCTCCCCTCAACACTTTTTCTCATTTTCTCTGTGTTTTAGGTGGCACCTGCACCTGTGGGGACAACTGCAAATGCAAAAACTGCAAATGCACATCGTGCAAAAAAGGTAAAGGGGGTCCCGCGGGGTGGGGCAGAAACATCCGGGGGGGTTTTCAATACACATCCCGGGACATGCTGAATCAAATCAGGCTCAGCATTATCAAGAGTTGAGTTTATTCCTCCTGTATTTTTTTGCTCCCAAAGGAGCTCAGGGTGAATTCCATCCCTCCCCTGCTGCCAGGCAAGATAAGCCCCCTGGTATAATCCAAAACTCAGCGTACACCCCTGCTGGCGCCCCAGGCTCGGCGCAAGGGGATGCCCCGAGAGGAAACGGGTGCCGAGATTTCTTCCGGCTGCTCCCGATGCCATCAGCCGCGGGCAGAGCTGTGTGTAAGAGGGTTTGCACAGAGAGGGGTTGCGGGGGCCCGACGAGCCTCTGGGGGTCCCACACCCTCCTGCTGCATCCCCAGTGCCAGTTCCGGATGCAAAAACACCCGGGGAGACACCGCCAGGGATGGGGATGCCGCTAAAAGGCATCGTTGGGAAGTCTCTAAACCAGCTATCCCCAATGGGATCCCCCCAAACCCCACCTTGAGATGCCCTTGGGAATGTCCCCAACTTTTTTTTTTCTCCCCTGCACAGGCTGCTGTTCCTGCTGCCCGGCGGGATGTGCCAAGTGTGCACAGGGCTGCGTCTGCAAGGGGCCCCCCTCTGCCAAGTGCAGCTGCTGCAAATAGGGACCCCCAGCAGCACATCTGGGGGCCAAAGAAGAATAACCTTATTATGTATGTTGGGTTTTTTTATATATGTGTTCAGATATCTTTAGTGTTTGTCACTTGTGAGGTGTAATAAGCTACCTAAATAAAGTGATGTGTATATAAAGGTCTGTAAGGCACCTGGCAGTTCTGTTGGATGGGGCGGTTGCCCTGGGGAGTGGGAGGGCAGCGTGTTTGGGGGGTCATGGCAAAGAGCCTGCGTCTTATTTTTGATCCTGTCTTCCAATCTTGGCTCTGCCCTCTCCATCAGCAGCTCTGACTCGTTTTAACACTTTCTCTGCACAACAAGGTAATTTATAAGGGTTTTTTTTTCCTCCACCCTGTTGTTACCCAAGGGCAAATCCCATGCTCTCTCCTCCACCAGAAATCCTCGGGGCTAATCAGCAGCTCGTTATTACAAGCCTTCACTGACAGTGTAATAACCACTGCAGCCCTGCCCATTTCCAGGGGTAACATTTCCACCGCAGCTGGGGTGACAGGGAACTGGTTTAGTTTTCCTCCTGGCAGTTTACTTGAACTGACTGGAAGAACCACCCTGCTTGTTCCTCTGCCAGCCTGGCAAGGTGCTTTTGGGAGGGAGCATCTAGTGAGCTGGATGCCCACGATGGATTGTGATGCCCACAGTGGGGTGTGATGGCCACGATGGAGAGCGATGCCTGCAATAGTGTGATGCTCATGATGGGGTGTGATGCTCATGCTGGGGTGCAATGTCCACAATGGCTGTGATGTGTTCTGATGGCCATGGTAGGGTGCAATGCCTTGCAATGGGATGGGATGCCCATGCCAGTATAAAATGTCCACAGTGGGCTGGCATGCCTGCAGTAGGTTACAATGCCTGTGCCAGGGTGCGATGCCTGCGATGGGCTGGGAAGTCCATAATGGGTTGTGATGCCAGTGCTGGTGGGTGATGCTTACCCTGCCCAAGCACTGCCACGCTGCTGCCAGGACGCTGCACCCCAGGTGCCACGTGGTAATGTGCTGCTTCCCACAACACACGAGGGGTCCTGCCTGTCCCCATACTCCCCAAAACAGCCTTTGTGGCCTCTTTTTAGATGCAAAACCTTTTCTGACCCATCCAGCCACCATTGCCAGGACTCCGCCAGGGTTTTGGCACAGCCAAGGGCAGCTCTGCCCACTGGCTGCTCATGATGCCAGTCCCCAGGGACTACCCCTTTGCTCCAGGAGGACTCTTCCCCCAGGGCGTCCCCTGAGATGTCACCATGACCCCACACTTCATGGGTGTGAAGCACATCCCTATGCCAGCTGAATGGAGGGCAGGGCAGGATGCCGCAGGCAGGGTACAGCACCAGCTCTGGAGCTTCAAACTCGATTCTGGAAATAGCAGGGTTATCTTTATTCCTCCCTACCCAAGGAGATTTATGTGCCAACCATGTAAAAACATTGCTGGTGAGCCCGCAACAAGTGTGAAGGAGATGTTGCTAATGGGATTTATCCCCAAACATGCGGTTTAACCAGTGGGGCTCACAGCATCCTTCCAGCCCCACTGTCTCCACGGGGTTTGCATCGCTCCTGCCCCATGGCTTTGCCTTGTGCCCATCCCCATGCCCCACAGCAGGGTGATGGAGAGCAGCTATCAGATGCTGTCCCCTGCCTGCATGGGGGAAGTGGGGGGCTCTGAGCCCTGAAACCTGTGCTGAGCAGCTGCAGTTCTTCTGCTTGCTTTACAGCTGCCATAAAATCGGGAGTTGGACCCAGTACTCCTCTTAAATGGGCACAGCCTCGGGATTAACTACTGCCTGCCAGCCCTGGGAAATTGGGGCATCAGAAGCGACGATGTGGAAAACCCCCAAGGTCCCTTCTCCCTGCTGGTGTCCAGCACGTGCCCTACAACCCAGAATTTTGGCAAGCCTGTGTTTCAGGGGAAAACACGGCTCATGCTGCCCTGCCCTGCTGCGGGTGACTTCATTACTCAGTGGAAATGCCCTGATTGGGAAACAGTTTTTTCCGGGCTCTTTTCCCATCCTAGCTCCATGCACAGTCCTGTGCAGATGCTGCACTGCCCATTCCCACTCGAAGTGACGGGATGCCCATGACCACGTGCCCCAAGATCCGGCACAGCCCCTCCATGGGTGACGTGTGGGATTTCCAGAAATCTAGGAATTGTCCTGCCTCCCCCGCAGCCTTGCCCTGCACACTCATCCTCCACTTTTGGTGCAGCCCTGTGGTGTTGGGGTGCACATCCTCATTTTGGGGGGCTCTCCTTTCTTCAGACAGTGGTGCAGAAGAGCCCATCCCCACTGGAGGGGTGGCTGGGGGGGTAGCACTGGCCTGCAGCACCACGCTGGAGGGTGGCTGGGAAGTGATTTCACAACCTGTGTTTATGTGCAGTAAGACCACGCGTGCACTGTGATTTCACCTCTCCTTTCCCGCTCAGCCAGTGGCGAGCCTTCTGGTTTGGTGTCATATTTACACTCTTGATGCTGCGTGCAAAACACTGCCAGGAAAAAAAACCCTCTGTGGTTTTGCAAACAAGCACGAGCTGTTCCCTGGCACAAGTTCCCAGGGCTGTGGACCCCCTCCCAGTCCCAGGGCCCGCTGGCCTGAGCTCCATGGGCATGGACCCCATCTGCACTGCCAGCTCCGAGCCCAGGCATGCCCCATTTGCAACGCCAGCACCAAGAGCACTGGGTGCAGGCACGGGGACGGCCTGTCCCTGGCCCAGCCGCTGTTTTCCATGCCGGCTGCCAAGCTGGCCACGGGCATGAGTGGGAGAGAGGAATCCGGTCCGCACATAAACACCGTGGCAAGAGGGGAAAACCCCCGGGTGCCGCAGGTGCTGGGAAGTTGTGAATCCCAGTGACCCCCATTCAGCCGTGCCACACTCCTGCCTGGCAGCCTGGTGCTGCACCCCCATGTTCACCCTTCCTGGGGGGCCAGCTAAGCACCCTGGAGCCACGCCACCCTCTGGCAGGATGCTGAGACTGTCCCACCCCCAGGACAGCCACACGCAACCCAAGGGCTCCCCAAGATGGGGGACACAGCTATACCCCAGCGCTGGGCACATGGGGCTGGGGGGGCTGTCCCACATGTGCAGGAGTTGGTGGCTGTGCCATGCCAGCGCTGTGCCCCCCCCCC